TTGAATGCAAACGGTGGCCCAATATAAGGAGCATTGTTGGCCCAACAAAGGTCCAATAACATCCTGCTATCTGGGGTACAATATTTTCTTCCCCAGACTCCTCTTACATTTCAACAATGTCCCAGTCCGTAGGAGGTCCATGTGTCATATGCTCACCTTAAGCATTTTATGCTCAATCGGTGAGTGTGATACATATGTATTTAAGAGTATAGATTATAGAAAAAGTAGTGTGGCCTCTTGGTAAGTTACTTAGGAGAGAACAAACACACAGGCACCTGACGTTACTTATTTTTCTTTTAATAAAATAAATTATACCCCTATCTATAACATTTTGAACCTTTCGTGACAGTATCTTTTTTAATTTTTAATGGAAGCAACGTTAACTGTAATGACGTTTTTATTAAGTTCCATTTTTTCATTCCGGAATAAAAGATTGTTCAAGCATAAATTTCTACGGAAACGGGAGGGGGTTACATTGTTGTCCATAATACTAAAAGATCCCAACACAAAAATCCTATTTTATGGTTGGGGATGGGGGTCGGCTTAATTGGTGGACAAGCTACATTCTTCCATATATATTCTCATATTTCCTAATTATATAAATATCAACTTATGACAGTCATTCATCAACAAAAACATACCAAATTAGGAAATTTTCATGTTGCTCACCAATTTACATGTAATATTGTAAAATTTTAAAGATGATTTCAACTCTTAGATTTTACATATACACAAGGTTTTGTAAATATTTAGTGGCATATATATGCATTCAAAGTTTTGATTTGATAATTTAATGATTAATTAAAACGCATTCAACTTCAAATCTTAATGCCGCTTCGTTCATTTACTAATTTCAATTCAGCCAAATAAGCGTTTATCGTAGACTGACTGTTATGAGTTTGCGTTTCTTGTGAAGGAGGGGGGGGTTATTTTGATATGGTTACTTTAATATTCTTAAGTTTTAGTGAATTTGAAAAAATTATCAGGTCTTGATCCCCTAACCTTTATCCGCTTTTCTGGGATCTGTCTATGGGGATATAATGCCAAATTTTAATTAAACTTTTATCTTCATAGATTCTGTTTCAGATTCTTAGTTTTAATTAAGTTCTGATGTCTGATGATAGTGTGAAAATAAGTGAAATTTTACACAAGTTGCATTATAATCTCTTTATCATAGATTTATAAAAGAGAGAAAAAAAGTGTACAAGGCGAGAACAATCACCCGCTCTATGACGGAAAAGTTTGATTTTTCTAAAATTATGTTGTCGGTTATGTCATCTTCAACATATTAGATTCATATATTGTTCTGAAAGGCATATTGATTGAAAATTGTTTTTAGACTTATTTAGTCGAAAATGAGTACGTTTTAAATTATATTAAATGATTCTAGCTATAAAGATTTATTTTTTAATATGAACGGACCAGGTTTAAATTCGAGGTATTGTGTTTAAGTTACGGAAAAGTAAAAGCATTGTGTTTTTTTAATGGCGTCTGAACCCATTCTATCTAAAAGTTGAATATTTCTGAAATGAAAAAAAGTGAGGATAATGAGTATTGATTTATGTCGAAAAATATACAAACAATACAAACATGTGGGCAGGGCGTGGACCCCCCCCCCCCCCCGGGAATACCAGAGATCCAGAGATTGGAACGGGTACCTAGAGTAGTAAGCATCCCTTATTGATCGGTCAAACACGCTGTTAGCTCTATGTATTGATCAAGTGAACGGAACATTTCGTAATCAAATTTAGTATAAAAACAAAGGTCTGAACAGTTGGGTGAGAGAAATAAGCAAATAAAAAAAACGACCCAAGATAAATTAAACGATAGGTTGAAAAACCTTATTTGTCTCAACAAATTCGTTTCTTTTTAAGCAAACTGACACACAAACAACAAGAAGACACCGTAGCATACTGTGGTTAACGCATTGAGTCTTACACCTTCCATGAGCTTTGGAAAAAATTCGATTACTTTGTGAAGCGCTTTTTTCCGTTTTACATACCTTTAAAACATAAGTAAAAATATATTACCTGTATTTATCAATAAGTTATTTAATGACATAAAGTTGAGACAGTGTCTTTGGATTATACTCCTCCTATATACGCCTTCATTCTTCAAGAAGTATTCTACAAAAATCAAACATAGCATTTCTGTATCAATCGTGACAAAACGCAAATCAAGTATCGCACAAACACCAGCAATGATAGCACATTTTATCAAATTCTATATCTATTTATTTCTGTTTAACTTCTTTCGACTGATAAATGTTTCTCTTGTGATAATAAATGCCAATACCTTTTTTCAAAACTGCGATATCGCGATAATTTTATCAGAAAACAATTAATCTTAATTTCATGCAAATCACAAAAAGGATCCGAAAAAAGTATAGCAATCGCAAAAATATGTTGCAAACATAGTATAGCATTCACTCAAAACAAGAATAGCCCAATTTCTCTAAAATGCGTAATTCATAGAAATCAGACGATGTTTCGTGGGTGAATTGAGGCGAAAACTAAGTTACAATAATTTTTACAACAGAATATAGTTTGAAAAAAATAAGAACAATTGAAATAATTCAAAATAAGCGAAAATCCCATTTGAACTTAGTAAATGAGAATGGTATCGAATTTCTAACATTGTTTCAACTTAGAAATTTTCTCAAATAAATTTACATTGATTCTATAAAGGTTTAATAAGTTTTCTAATTTCTTAAAATTACTTTTACCCATATTTTGCTAGCAGAATTTTCTTTTTTATCCATAATGCATCAGAGTACCCAAAGCAATATAGCAAGTGATCCAAATCAAGTAGATTTTCGATTAGCACTTTGTATACAGTGGTCAGTAAAACATCCAAATGTATATTATATTTTGATCCCTTTGTTAAAAATTTCTCGAAAGAGAGAATGCTGTTCTGGTAATAATATTATGAAAATCAATTAAAAGGAATTCATACATTACAAATTGTCCATCACAAAAATATTGAATGGTCTTCTTTTGAACATATGTTTTTACAAGTCACGTCATTAATGCTTGTTTTATCGTTATCAGTCAGAGACTACAGAAAAGAAGGTAAAGATCCAATTGTCAAGGTTCTTTTCTGTCCCCCGTCACCTGTTACAACCAAGTCTCCATTAACCACAGCAGCTCTAACAACTGATGCTACACCTGGACCACCAGAACTCCTGGAGAAGCTGTCCTATTGTCAATCATCATTAATATATGAGGGTTTTTATGATTCTCCGTAGAATCTATACATTTAATTATATATACATACTTGTATAAATCCTTAACTATATTCTTTGGGTCTTTGCTCATCTGTTATTTGTATCATCTGATCTCTGTTTTCTGTTTATGACATTTAAACTTGATGTCATACTGCATAATATGGTATATATAACGAAAAACATGTATTTTTTCATTTAATGTATAGTGTATATATACATATGTGTATATCTATTTTCATTATACTGTGTATTTCGTTCTAGAATTTTCTGTTTACATCGATTTTATTGATACATCATCACTTTAAGCATGTTTTCAATACCATCTTGACGTCTCCATTGTTGGGTTTCAATTCTGCATCTCATTTGTCATGGTTGTCGGTACATATCGTAACATCTCTTCCTTGATCACGTCAATTTTCGTTGGTGTTGTTGGTAAGTACAATTTCTATATCTCTGTTGCAGATGTTATATCTGTGTCTTTGTTTCTATTCCACCTGTGCACCACCTTTATATTTCTGTAAATAATACCACATCTCTAAGCTTCAATATCTAAATCTATTGCTGTTGGAACCATCTTTCTTGTTCGAATTATTTGGACCCTTCAACTCAATGATGAAGTCAATTTAAGATCTGTAAACGTACTTTTCAATTAGAATTATGATTGTTTCACTACAGCTTATATAAAAGATGGGATCATCGGTGTTTTGTCCACAGCACTACTTGTTGTCACAGTGACGTTCTGTTGTCATCGAAGGAAAAGGTACACTTACAGTACTTAATTACTGATGTACTAGTATTTTATAGTCTTATTCACCATCCGATATAACACACGTTCTTTTGGCATTTTAGTTTATGACAAAAACTTAATCGCCCACAACTTAAGTTTACAATCTTGAGTTAACTTTGCCCAACCATTTTTACCTTTCATCCTCTTTGAATCGCATCTATAATTTTTATTTTTCATTTTAGTTCACCACCAAAAAGGAAGGCTGAATACTCAATCAGTTACAGGTCATCCGAATTTTCTTCGTTGGAAACTGAATCACAAACCATATATGATTATCCTCTGTCACTGGCCACGGAAGCTGTTGATTATTTGAGAAGCACAACGTCATCAGGGTATGCCATACCGAGGCTAACCATGACAGATGACTGCAGTGAACCTCCAATTTATGGCAATGTGATTATGGAATCTGAAAACGAAAATATGGACGTTGAATGCGAATATATGAATATTTCCACGGCACATCAACCCGATGTCGGAAAGAGAGCCCAATCAAGAGAGAAATCTTTACATCTTGACAATTCCATTTCACGGGCTGCGGTGCTCTCGTCCAAACGAAGTGCTCAAAAGCGAGCTAATCGTTCAAAAAATAAAAGGAACAAAAGCAAAAGAGTAGAAGAAAGTAATTATTTAAATATAACACCTAAGCTGCACTCCTACATCGAGGTGGTGGATGATCCGACCGATACTTTGTTTAGTAATAGCTCCACTAGTATGACGTCATCAGGATATTCCAAACCAGTGGAAAACAAAGCCAAACTCCGGAGACAATTGCAATACTCCAGTAAGAAAAACACAACAGGAAGAGGTGTTACTGTGAATTCTTAATTGTGATTTTATTGAGCAAATTTATTTCTTCTTTATCAATAACTCAAAAATATATGTATAGAGAAAACAGTTAACTTTTTTTTTATCATATTTATGTGAATGACAATGTAGAACCCTTGCCTGTGATCTTCATTATAATCACTATAGTTATGATGTTGATTTTTAAAATTTGGGAGACAAAAATAAAAGAAGATGGGGGACAAGGCGGGCAGAATGCCTATAGCGTCAGATATTAAGAAATCATATTCAATATGTGAATTGAATTTTTATATTAACTTCTCATTATGGAAATTTGTGAAATTATGTGGAAAAAAAACTTCTGAGAGAAAAAATCTCGTAAAAAATGTTTCTTTTATAAAAATATTAGATGGCATTCGTGGGATTCGAACCCCAGTAATAAAAATCCGAAGAATCATACTGCTTTGAGACTAACGCGCTGACCACTATGCTACATGGCTCATGATGATCATGTTTGTGATATGAACCTTGACTTAATGGACTTGAAGTATTTCTCGGAAATATACGAATGTTTTGCCATAAAAGTGTACTTTTAAGGTATAGTGGGTCTTCGCTCCATGTTTTTGTAAAGCAAAAATGTATATTTTATTGCAAACTTTTAGGATTATCTTTCAAAAGAATGGAGCGAAGACCCACTCATATTAAAAAAAAGAATTGTTAAAGTATGAGAAAATGATCGTTTTTGTTCTTTTTAGTGTGTGTATGCTTTTCAATAGGCAAATATTTTCAGTTTTGGTGGGATTTTTGTAAATTGTAGAGATGTTACGTAAAATATATTTTAATATTAGACGAAATATCAAATAAAATTTGGATATAATTGAGATTTATTTTTACACTTCTTGTCTGTCGATCTATAGGCACTTTGCCCGCCTTATCCCCCCTCCCCCTTTTGAATAATCCAGATATCAGCTTGGCGTCAGTGTCAAGATTTGTTTTTTTTAACAACTTTGAATGTTAAACTTTTTTAAACGGTTGGCGTAGTTTTCAAGTGTTGCTCTTGTCAATTACTATCGTTTCCGTTACTTTCATAACTGGCCATCAGTTACACGAGTAATTTTCAATATCAAATTCAATTCGCCTAGTCCCGCTTTCTTTTCGATCCAGTAATACTTGTCCAGTAGTAAACCTCTTCTTAAATTAAATAAAAAGTTACAAGAAATGTGACGATAAGTAAAGACATTAATGACAAAACAACAGCTAAACTTATGGCAACCATTATGACATCAACTTCTTTATCGTCAGCTTCCTTATTAATTAAGCAATATACCATTAACTTAGACCTATATACATATTGATGATATTTGATGCGTCATGGTCCCGTCCTCAGGTGGATCCTCCTTCAGTTGTTATTTCGGCGTTGTCCACTACAACCTCCGTAGGTACGCTGACTGGGGTGATCAAGTCCTAGCCTGGAACCACTCAGCTCTCCGCCTTCACTGCAACACATTAAATGTTCATTCACAGGCAAACACGTGGAGTCTTAGTGTTGCACTTTACACTGTTCTTCTTTTTCTTCCTTATCCATATGGATGTCACTTTGCCTCTCGGACCAGGCGCCCAATGAATTATCGTCTCTCAGTGCCTGTTACACCTACAATCCGCAAGGCCCTCAACATAGATTGCCCTACAAAACCTCGGCAGCCAACTTCCACTAGGAGACACCACACTCTCCAGCCTCGTTATTGATACTGTAAACCAACTTTTATTCGCGTGCGAGAAATTTTCGCGAAGTTCGCGAGAGTCTCGTCATCGCGAATATTTCTCGCCGCGAACCAGTCTTTAAAGTCTCTATGTCTATTAACAACAGATCAAAAAAGGCTTGTTCGCGAAAATTAATCGTCGCGAACTAGTTTAACCCCTGTAAATCGCGAAAAAAAGTCGTCGCGAATAAAAGTTGGTTTACAGTAGTCTGCAGCCAGATCCTGGTACTTATTCATTTTCTGCTAATGGGCTTCTTCAATTTTAAGTTCCAGCATAACAACGAGCCGGACTACGGGAGACAAAATAACAATATCTGCTTTGTGATTGGTAGATGCTATTTCTTGTGAATACTGCATTCGGCTGTTGAGATCGGTTTACATTTCCCAGTCACTGGCGGTTCCCAACAGTCCACCTCCTTCCACTCCCCCAGCACGACTCTGTTCACCAACCTTAACAAAGTTACAAACTTCACTATTTCTTAGTCTTCCGAGGTTTCTTCCCTGCTTTTTCAAGTAAGTGTGCAATAACAGACCTTTTTGTGTCTTCATGTTATCTTCCATCTGTTAAAGCTACTGAACACGAAGATAAGATATGTTCCAGGTTGGCTGGTCTACCACAAAGATAGCAGATTGGATCGTCCTTCATGCCCCATGTTGTCAGATTGGTTGGGGTTGGCAACACGTCATAAATTAACTGAGGCTGAAACTGCAGTCTCTAGGGCTCTGTTATCTAGATCTCGTTCCAAGATAACTTTTTCTGTCGGGCACGTTCCCAGTTTTACCAGCTTCCCTGCTTCTTCATACCAACTGCCTTCACCACTCTTGTGTGTTCTTCCACCGCACCAGTTTGCCTCTTCTTCACTTCCAACGATGTACCCCATCTTGTCAATGGTATTATTCCTATTCCCTGCCTGCCTACAGCCACACTTCCCACAATGTCCGCTTGTCTCAGGCGTGACTCTTCCTCTTGCACTGTCTTCTTTGCTGATCACTTTTTGCCCGTCTTGATGTTCACTCTTGCCTCCCGTACCTTGGAATGATTACTGTCGCGTAACATCAGATACCGCCTGACCTCGGTGACCTTGAATGCCTCAATGGTTGACGTCAGTGGTAATTGCAGCTTTGTTCCTGTGTTGTATAAACCAATGCTTCTAAAGCTTTTTGAAACCTCCAGTCATCTTCAGAGGTACTCTACATCAATTCAACTGATGTCACTTGCAAATCATACACAAGAAAAGGCCAAATAATTCGTGGGAGCACATCGTGCTGGTATATCCATGCCTTGTATTTTCCTGGTAAGGCACTTTTGTCTATGGTGTTCATCCACTTCTCAAGTTGATTACTGGCGTCGTTAACATTCTGTTTATCACTCGGTGAATCCTCAAAGAACTTTTGCAGGCACCAGTTTTTCTGAGACTGATGGGATAATCTCCATCTCAAACCCTGAACTACTCTCCTGTGGTTTTCCTCTTTTTCATTATGAAGCTCCTAGACTGTGTTAGCTTGATCTTCATACGGGCCCAACTGATGATATCCTTCAAGGTTCATTTTGGCTCTATGTTGGTCTTTGTGCTCATTGTCATATCGTCCATGAACACTCGGACAGGGGGCTCACGCCTGCCTTCATCCATTGACCTCTGCTCATTTTCTCCACCGATCTCACCATCTAAATCATGGCTGCAGAGAACAGAATTACTGATACTGTACAACCTGTGACGATCCTTACTTCTAGGCGCTGTCACGATGTTTTGAAGTCCTAGGTAGTGAACCGTAATTGAAGCCTGTCAAAGTAACTCATGAGCAGCTTCCGAATCCTGTCTGATATATGGTAGCGCTGTAGTGTAAGTTGGACTAACTTATGAGGCATGGTCTTTAACTTCTCTCTAATGTTAGTCCTTAATTCAACCAATGCAGGTCGTTCCCCCTCTCTCATATACTAAATCGTCTTGCCAGTTTTGTCTCCTGTTCTTATTCACTACTCTTCTTGATTTCTGCTTTACTTCCTTTCCAAATCTGTACAATCCCACGTTGTATATTATCGTTGCAATGCCTTTGATCTTTTTGTCTATTCCTCCTGCCAGTGATGCTTTTAGGATTGCATCTACATCATTGTTAAACATCTTCTATTCTTCCTTATTTCTTTTAGCTGGCCACTTGATCTTTGCTTTCCTCTCTGATTCAACGTGCTGCCTCTTGGGCTAACGTGTCTGCTCATCTGGTGTTACCCCTTCCCCTTGGCTGCCCCCTCGTTGACTGGGACTTGGACACTGTGGTCGCTGTGGTTAGATTCCTGGACCACCTCCTCCTCCTCCGTTTCACAAGGTTGCCCTGTGTGTTGCGTCAGTCGCTAAATAGGGGCGCAGCCCATTTTCCGCATGTGTACAGTATTTTCAGCCCCTGCTCATTTCAGTCCCCACTCATTCTTTAAGAGGTCGCCCGCGTGGCGGAGTGATTAAAGAGTCTGCTTTAGGAGTTAATCCTTATGTCGCGGGTTCGAATCCCACTGTTGGACGTGGAGACCGGTCCTTTGGATGAAACCTTATAAACTGAGGTCCCGTGTCACAGTAGATGCTGGCACGAAAAAGATCCCTCGCTGCTCAATGACCCTCAGTGCCGAGTATAGGACAAAATTTGCAGCTCTCCACCAGCAAGTGGTGGCGTCGTCATATGAGTGAAAAATTCTCAGAGGGGCGTTAAACAACATACAGACAAACAAACATTCTTTAAGGTCTTTCAACAACTACATGTGCTCAAATTCAAACTCTCTATCCTTGGTCGGCCCTGTGTTGTTACCGTTACATATTCCAAAACAGGTCGCTCATCCTCCCCCGCTCTCGCGCGACCCCGGGGGTATGTCTATGTATAGCGGATTCTAAAAGTTTCTCCTCAAGGAAGATGTGCTTTGGATTGCTAAATCTCCACAACCTTGATTGCCTGTCTGTCCAGACTGTCTCCTGACTATCCAGTTTGTCACTGCCCTATTCACAGTCGTCATCCAGACCTTCCTGGCCGTCACTGGTTGTCCAGAATGGAAATATCTATATCCATCTTGGTGATATTTGATGTGTCATGGTCCCGTCCTCAGGTGGATCCTCCTTCAATGGTTGTTTCGACGTTGTCCACTACACCAACTGGGGTGATCAAGTCTAATCCCGGAATAGCTCTCCGCCTTCGCTGCAACACATTAAATGTTCATTCTCAGGCAAACACAGAATACTTAGTGTTGCACTTTCCACTGTCACTGTTCTTCTCTCTTCTTCCATATCCACTGTGGGACATGGAGACCGGTCCTTTTGCATGAGACCGTATAAACCGAGGTCCCGTGTAGCAGTATATTTAAGTGCTGGCACGAAAAAGATCCGTCACTGCTCAATGCCCCTGAGTGCCGATAATAGGTCAAAATTTTGTAGCTCTCCATCGGTAAGTGGTGGCGTCTCCATATGATTGAAAAATTTTCGAAAGGGACGTTAAACAATATACAATCAATCTTCCATATCCACACATT